GCTCCGCCAGAGGAAGGGCTGGCCGAGGCGTCGTGTGTCACGGGCTCAGCGCGGCGGCACCGCGGTGCCGCGGGGAGCAGCGGCCCTGCAGCGCGCACAGCGCGTGGGCAGCGCGCGGCACCGCCTGCCGCCTCCCCCGCGCCTCCCCACGGCACCAGACCAGCCTTCGAGACCTTCAAGGTTATCTCAGCAGCAGCACGGTTAGGGCATGCTGCAAACACAGCCAGAAACCTAAAACAAAAGTGCAGTGGAGGCCTTGCCTGGCAGCTCTTCCCTTTTTCCCTAGCGTCATTAGTTTCCAAAGCAGCTTGGGACAAATCCCGCCTGCCGCCTCCCCCGCGCCTCCCCACGGCACCAGACCAGCCTTCGAGACCTTCAAGGTTATCTCAGCAGCAGCACGGTTAGGGCATGCTGCAAACACAGCCAGAAACCTAAAACAAAAGTGCAGTGGAGGCCTTGCCTGGCAGCTCTTCCCTTTTTCCCTAGCGTCATTAGTTTCCAAAGCAGCTTGGGACAAATCAACTTTTTGCTGAAAGGGAACACAAGCTCCAGTCTGGCTTCACTTCCCCTGCCCTTGAGCTGAGCCGGGGACTTTTACAGTCAGTGGCCCTGGGGTGGCTCTGCCTCTGCCGTCCCTGGTGGCCCCATAGGCAGGGGCAGTGCAGAGCCCTGGCTGAGCCGGGTGGCCCTCTGGGAGCCCCAGGCCAAGGGAGGAATGTGCTGGGTCAGGCCTGGGGCCAGGAGAACTGGCCTGGCTGCTTGGTTCACCGAGCAAGGACATTTTGTTGACAAGAAGTCATTTTTTGGCAAAAGAAGGGAAACTTGATAAAAATATTCTGAAAAAATCATCGGGGAGATGACACTTCCCAGTACAGAGATGTGGCCAAGAGGTTTAAAGAGCCCGATGCTGCTCCTACCCTTGCACTTGCCTGCGCTCCCACGCTCCTTCCGAGCGGAGGGGACATCGGGTGGCCGCGCTGGCAGCTCGCTGTGCAAGCGGGACACGCACGCAGCGAGGCGAGGAGCCCCTGCCACCGGCTGTCCCCGCTGGCACATTGTGCACGGGAATGTCCTAGGGGTGATGCTAGCAGTTCCCCCCACCAGAAGATGGGGATTGCTGCAGATCCCAGCAGCACAGGGACTACCCTGCACCTTCCTGCACGTGAAGAGGCAAAAACATCACAGGCAAAACCTGCACCGGGGCCAGCAACTCAGCGTGGCCATGAACCCCCTGGCTGAGAGGGGGTCAGCGCCCTGCACGTCTGGCAGACAGTGCTGACATGGGCAACAACTAAAAATAGGGACCTCCCTCCGAGAGCATGATTTCCGCGGGACCTAGAAAACACCCGAGTTCCTCCGCAGAGGAGCCGGCCGCACGCGGAACTCACGATGCTCCGCATCATCTTGTCCCCGCCGCTGAAGGTCACGGCCAGCATGGAGGCGCACTCCTCGGCGTAGAACGGCATGGAGCCCGTCTCGTCCACCGCGCCTGCGAGGAAGAGGAGGGCGTCGGGCTCCGCGAAGGCCCTTCCGCGGCCGCGCGCCCGGCACGGCATCGCCAGCAGAGATAACGGCCTCGCACGGGCCGCTCCGCGGAGCCGGCAAGGAGAGCAGACCCCAGCCCGCATCTCTTGTGGCTGGCACA